CCCCCCTCCCTCACTCCCCTCCCTTATTCCCCCCTCCCTTACTCCCCCCTCCCTTACTCCCCACTCCCCACTCACTCCCCTCACCCGCTGCACGAAGCCCACTTTCTCCCCGATTGTTGCCATCGTCCCGCCTCCTTTGACTGACAACCGCTGCTGTCCAATGGGTAGCCGCCCCGCTGACCTCGTTCGTCCATTCGGGGGTGGGGGCGGCTTGCGGATGCGGAAACACGTCACGGAGCCAAGATGGCCGCGCCCAGGGCGATGCCGCGGATGGAGGTTTGGAGCCGCACTCGGGAAAAGCTCAGGAGCTTTCCACATTTTATGGCAGCGTGTGCCGCAGAGGTCAGTTCACATTTCATTTTAATCCTATCTAGGTATTGTCTTATCGAGCACTCAACCGGAATTGTGCATCTGTTTTGCAGCAGAATTATACATGGATTCATAAAGTGACCTCGCTGTAAACCGGTGTTGGACAGATGGAGGTCAATAGGGACAGAGCATACAGCTGTTTACCAAAGGGGGAGAAATGGAGATAGAGGCAGTGGGCAGAGTTCTCCGAAGTAGGGCTAAGGTGGCTGACTGGGACTGGACTGTGGAAGATGTACATCGAGCCCAAATCATCACATCAAACCACTGTCAGATGTGGGAGGTTGTAAGTCTGGAGGAGTTTGAGCAAAAGGAGACGTGTAAACCATCAAGGTGGGCGTTGTGACAGATAGTCCTTGGTTCTATAGTGTAGTGTAAGTGCCCGCTCTGAAGATGCTGGCAGACCAGCTGAGTTACTCCACAATTTCGGTTTTTGGTTCAGATTTCCAGTATCTGCAGTTCTTTGATTTTTTTTTTTGCATTTTTGTTTTCTTTTTGACTGAGTGCTGGAGCAGGCTCTGCTGTTAAGCGGAAGAAGTTCGTCCTGGTGATGTCTAAGATGTTGATGGTTGAAGCCAAGCACTTTATTAACAGTGCCTTTTTTTTTGCAACTTCTGACTTCATAGAAATCAGTGGTGCGGGAAGAGGATGATGTCTTTGGGACTGTGGATTTCGTCGAGGGACTGAAAATTGTGTTTTCTGCTTTCCACCAGTGTTCAATTGGAGGAAAACGTATGCAGACAATATGAATAAGACAATCTGACAACATAAAGGCCTGGTCAGAGATTTGGTAAAGGTAGAGCTGGGTGTCATGAGAGTACATTTGGAGACTGACCATTAGTCTCCAGGCGATGAGGCTGAAAAGCTGGCAAGGGAGATAGGAAGAGAAGGGGCTGCTGATAAATGGTTAGATGACTCTGGAGGTTAAAGTGCTGTCTTGACTAGAAAAACACAATTCTTTTACAATAAATAAACAAACATCTCCATGCCATACAATGTTGTCAGCAAAACTTAGGGAATGATGTAAAAACCAAAAGAACTGTGGATGCTGTAAATCAGAACAAAAACAAAGTTGCTGGAGAAACTCAGCAGGTCTGGCAGCATCTGGGAAGGAAAAAACAGAGTTAACATTTCAGGTCCGGTGACCCTTCCTCAGAACTGATGGTGGATGGGAAAATGTCAGTTTATCTGCAGAAAATAGGGAGGTGGGTGGGTTAGGGAGTAAACGATGGGATAGAGCCCAAAGAGAGAGAGAAAGACAGTTGAACAGACAAAGGAGTTGCTAGCGATCTGGCTGGGAGGGTGAATAGTTGTTAATGGGGACTGTTAGTGACTAACAACAGTGGGTGTGTAATGGCAGGCTTTGTGGTAACAAGGCCTGGTGTGTGGGGTAGGGAGCTGGGACATGGGAGAGTTTAGGCCCTAAAATTATTGAATGTAGCTTTCTCTACATTGGGGATACGAAGCATAGACTTGGCGACCACTTCGGAGAACATCTACGTTCTGCTCGCAAAAAAGACTCTGAACTACTTGTTGCCTGCCACTTCAACGCACCACCCTGCTCCCTAGCCAACATCTCTGTCTCTGGCTTGCTGCAGTGTTCCAGCAAAGCCCAACGCAAGCTGGAGGAACAACACCTCATTTTCTGCTTGGGGACCCTACAGCCCTCCGGACTAAATATTGAGTTCAATAATTTTAGGGCCTAAACTCTCCCATGTCCCAGCCCCCTACCCCACACACCAGGCCTTGTTACCACAAAGCCTGCCATTACACACCCCCTGTTGTTAGCCACTAACAGTCCCCATTAACAACTATTCACCGTCCCAGCCTGATCGTTAGAAAATCCTTTGTCTGTCCAACTGTCTTTCTCTTTCTTTTGTGCTGTATCCTATTGTCTACTCCCTACCCCACCCACCTCCCTATTTTCTGCATATAAACTGACATTTTCTCACCACCATCAGTTCTGAGGAAGGGTCACCAGACCCAAAATGTTAACTCTGTTTTTTCCTTCCCAGATGCTGCCAGACCTGCTGAGCTTCTGCAGCAACTTTGTTTTTGTTAGGGAATGATGTGTTACTCTGGGACACTTTTCAGTTCTCTCGTGTGAACTTACAAGTGTCAGACATTTTTTTTCCCCTCTTACTTGGCCTGGCGATCCTACTTCCCTCACTCTTCGTCTGAACTGCTTAATTATTTGTCACATAGAATCGCTGAATCCATACAGTGTGGAATGAGGCTATTCAGCCCATCAAGTCACCACCAACCTTCTGAAGAGCATCAAACCCAGACTGATCCCCTACCCTGACTCCGTAACCCCACATTTCCCATGGCTAATGCACCTAGCTTGCACAGCCCTGGACACTATGGGCAATTTAGTGAGGTTAATCCATCTAACCTGCACATCTTTGGGCTATGGGAGGAAAACACACAGATATGGGGAGTACGTGCAAACTCCACACAGACAGTTGCTCGAGGGTGTAATTGAACCTGGGACCCTGGCACTGTGAGGCAGCAGTGCTGACCAATTGCTAAATGATCCACATAGGTTCATTATTTGCTCTTTTTGTAGTCTTTATTAAAAATCTTTCTCCTTGCTATGATACTTACCTATAGTACAATAGTTTATTCCATCTCCCTTTTTGATTCTAAGGCGTCGGCATATGGCAGGTGTGTGGCTGCAAATACTCAGGGAAGCAAGGACCTCAGAAAGGACATGTGTGCAAACGAGTTTCAGGCACTTAAGAACTGCTTTACATTAAATGTAAGTTTTTGCTGGAAAAGAAAGACAAATTTAAAGTGCAGCAATATTTTACCTGCAAAACAGTCTGAAAATGTGTGCAGTATTATGTATATTTTCAATAATTGAAATAGCCTTAAATATTATTCACTATTGCAATCTGAAAATTAATGCACTGCAATAAATAATGTTGCATTTACAGGTCATTGCAGCTATATCCCTTAGACTTTTCTATTAGGTACATTATGTTTGAATGCTTCCAATATTAAAAATAAAGTTCCAAATAAATTATTGCAGTGGAAACCTTGTACCAATATTTTGAAAAAAAAACTTAGCAGCTGTAAATACAATGCTGCTCTAAGTTTATTAAATCTTTAGCTCTGGGTGAATACTGTAGTTCTCAAATGTATGTGGCCTTTCAAAATCTGTTGCAGATATATTATATTGGCTTTACAGGACTGTACGAGCTGCAGTTATTTGGCTTGAACCTCAAATACTAGATTTTCTATCTGCTAGCCAAATAGACTTTAGTGGGACAAATAAGGCATAATAAAGTATGTTATGTACAAATAATTGTTTCCATCCAACATTTAACAAATCTATGGTATACATAGAATATTCAGCAGCTATTACAGATTGTACTGTGAATGAGATCCTTTAACCTGTAATAAGTCCACAATTCTTCAGGCCTTTCATTATGCAAAGAATAATTGAGAGAGTCAACAGTGAAAATACCAATGATGTAAAGTTTTTTTTTCAATATTCTGTCAGTCTTTTTAATAACTCAGGTAACAGGGTACTCCTCAGACACTAACAATCATTGTAACAGTTTGTAAAAATGTCTTCACCCAGTACTATTTCCCCATTTGCGAAGCATGTTCACAACTCTTTTTTTAGCTAGTTCCACCCTGGAGCCAACTGTAAACAGCAGCCTAGATAACCCGAGATAACAAGGGGTGGAGCTGGATGAACACAGCAGGCCCTTCTGAAGAAGGGTCTAGGCCCGAAATGTCAGCCTTCCTGCTCCTCTGATGCTGCTTGGCCTGCTGTGTTCATCCAGCTCTACACCTTGTTATCTCAGATTCTCCAGCATCTGCAGTTCCTACTATCTCTGAAACAAGCCTAGATAACCTGACCTTTGACTTTCTTTTTCACCTTGTAAGGTACATCTTCGTTGTATTCACTGCAACCCCGAAGGCCTGTCTGAGTCTGGGAATATATGTAATAAAACAGAAGGTGGATTGGAAAAACTGAACAGGCCTAGCAGTGTCTTTGGAGAAAGAAACATTTCAAATTCAGTGTGGCATTTCTTCGGAATGGGGAACTGAATTGTGGATGAAAATCAATTTTCTTTAAAATGATGCTTTTCACATTATATAGCATTGCACTGAACCACTCTCCTTTAACATTTCATCAGAAAAGGGGGAGGGGAAGGGGGTTCTGAAATAAATAGGGAGAGAGTGGGAGGCAGATAGAAGATGGATAGAGGAGAGGATAGGTGGAGAGGAAACAAACAGGTCGAAGAGGCGGGGATGGAGCCAGTAAAGGTGAGTGTAGGTGGGGAGTTAGGGAGGGGATAGGTCAGTCAAGGGGGCGGGATGAGGTTAGTCGGTAGGAAATGGGGGTGCGGCTTGAGGTGGGAGGAGGGGATAGGTGGGAGGAAGAACAGGTTAGGGAGGCGGGAACGAGCTGGACTGGTTTTGGGATGCGGTAGGGGGAGGGGAGATTTTGAAGCTTGTGAAACCCACATTGATACCATTGGGCTGCAGGGTTCCCAAGCAGAATATGAGTTGCTGTTCCTGCAACCTTCGGGTGGCATCGTTGTGGCACTGCAGGAGGCCCAGGATGGACATGTCGTCTGAGGAATGGGAGGGGGAGTTGAAATGGTTCGCGACTGGGAGGTGCAGTTGTTTGTTGCGAACCAAGCGTAGGTGTTCTGCAAAGCGGTCCCCGAGCCTCCGCTTGGTTTCCCCGATGTTGAGGAGGCCACACCAGGTACAGCGGATGCAGTATACCACATTGGCAGATGTGCAGGTGAACATCTGCTTGATGTGGAAAGTTTTCTTGGGGCCTGGGATGGGGGTGAGGGAGGAGGTATGGGGGCAGGTGTAGCACTTCCTGCGGTTGCAGGGAAAAGTGCTGGGTGTGGTGGGGCTGGAGGGGAGTGTGAAGCGGACAAGGGAGTCACGGAGAGAGTGGTCCCTCCGGAAAGCAGATAAGGGTGGGGAGGGAAAGATGTCTTTGGTGGTGGGGTCGGATTGCAGATGGCGGAAGTGTCAGAGGATGATGCGTTGGATCCGGAGGTTGGTGGGGTGGTACGTGAGGACGAGGGGGATTCTTTTTTGGTTCTTATCGCGTGGACGGGGTGTGAGGGATGAGTTGCGGGAGATGTGGGAGACACGGTTGAGGGCATTCTCGACCACTGAGAGGGAGAAGTTACGGTCCTTGAAAAACGAGGACAACTGAGATGTACGGGAGTGGAATGCCCCATCCTGGGAGCAGATGCGGCGGAGGCGAAGGAATTGGGAATAGGGGATGGCATTTTTGCAGGAAGGTGGGTGGGAGGAGGAGTATTCTAGGTAGCTCTGGTAGGGTCTAGGCTCTAGGCCCGAAACGTCAGCCTTTCTGCTCCTATGATGCTGCTTGGCCTGCTGTGTTCATCCAGCCCCTGCACCTTGTTGTCTCGGATTCTCCAGCATCTGCAGTTCCTAATTTCTCTGATCCTTTAACATTTTACTAGTTTTCTCTGTAATGACGTGCATTTTTACTACTTTCCTCCCAGGCCAAAAAAGCAAGTTAAGGACAAGTTTTGATTTCTGCGAAGAAGTTCATCAACCACTACAGCACAAAAAGAACATCCCATTAGATGGTTGTCAAGTAGATCTGAACATCAATCCCCTGTAACAGGAGAACCGTGATCAAGAGAAGACTGTATTGAAGAGAAGAATGAACTCAAAAATAGAACAATATATCATTTATTTTCTTGGCTTGGTGCATTTTGTGAAGATGTTCAAATATCAAGCATTTTACCATGTTGCATCCAATATTTCTAGAACAGCCATTACTGAGGACATACATATCTGTTCCTGAATCCCAAATACCGCTTTGGTACTGTGACTTCAGATTTCCCTTTTTTTTTTGAAATGTATGAATGAAAAGTATATAGATTGAATTTTTTTTTGTATTGTTTGACAAGTTTTTTGCTTAAATGTTTCCATATTTTGTCTAATTAAATAATAAATGTTGTCTTGTAATACATCTAAGTGAAATAAAATATGTTTTCAGAATATTTTATGCAAGTCACATTATCTGCATTTCCACAACAGGATTAATCAAAGAACTCAGAAAATCTTGAGACAAATGTACCCCTTTTTACAGTACATGCTTCTGCATTAATTTCTGTAAACACAACTCTTGTTCAAGTTTCGTTCATGCATGCTGAACACTGTACACTCATTCCACAAGTAAGGAACAGTACTGTTGTCATTATGTTACTGAACTAGTAATACAGAAGCCTGGACTAATAATATAAAGGCGAGTTCAAATCTCACTATGGCAGACAGACAATTTCAATGCAGTTAATAATTAAATGCAGAATTTGAATTAATGACAATTTTAGTAATAGTACCCACCATAACTGCCACATTTTTTATTGAAAAGCTAGTTTATTCATATTCTTGAGATAGCAAGAACTGCAGATGCTGGAGTCAGAGATAACACAGTGTGGAGCTGGAGGAATACAGCAGGCCAGGCAGCATCGGAGGAGCAGGAAAGTTGACGTTTCGGGTCGTGACCCTTCTTCAAAAATGGGAAGGGGGAGGGGAGTTCCCCCCAACAAAAATAAAGACAGAATCCCCCTTGTTCTCACATATCACCCCACCAACGTATCATTCTCAGTCACTTCTGCCACCTACAATCCGACCCCACAACCAAAGATATATTTCCCTCCCCACCCTTATCTACCTCTCGTAGGGACCGCTCTCTCCGCAAATCCCTCGTCCGCTCCACACTCCCCACTAACCCCATCACCCCTGGCACCTTTCCCTGCAACTGCAGGAAGTGCTACACCTGCCCCTACACCTCCCCCCTCACCTCCATTCAAGGCACAAAACAAGCCTTCCACATCAGACTCGGGTTCACCTGCACATCCGTCAACATGGTCTATTGCATCTGCTGTTCCCGATATGGTCTCCTCTACACTGGTGAGACCACTCAGAGACCGTTTTGTAGAGCATCTGCGCTCTGTACGCGACAAATGACAACATCTTCTGGTCGTGAAACTCTTCTGGTCGTGAAACACTTCAACTCTCCCTCCCACTCCCTGGGTGACATGTTCATCCTGAGCCTCCTCCAGTGTCACAATGCGCCACCCGCAAACTGGAGGAGCAGCACCTCATATTCCACCTCGGGAGCCTACAGCCCAATGGCCTAAATATGGATTTTACCAGTTTCAAAATCTCCCCACCCCCCAGCCTCATCCCATGACCAACCCTCACATCTCCTTGATCTGACACAACCTGTTCATCTTCTCTCCCACCTATCCGCCCCTCCCACGTCAGTGACCAATCCCCACCACTCCCTACCTGCACTCACCAATCACCATCCACCAACCTTCCCCAACCCCACCCCTCCTCTCTATTTATTTCTGAGCTCCCTACCCCCTCTCCATTTCTGAAGAAAGGTCCTGACCCGAAATGTCAGCTTTCCTGCTCCTCTGATGCTGCCTGGCCTGCTGTGTTCCTCCAGCTCCACACTTTGTTATCTTGTTAATATCCTTGCCTAGATGAGGTATTTCATCACTGTGTGTTTGCAATGTAGTGAAATAGGCTGTCCAGCCTATTTAAGGGTGATACTCAGTTAAGGACGATAGGGACGCACAATAAATGCCACCATCACCACCAATGTCTATGTCCCCGAATGATATTTTTTATTATATAAGGTATAGATTGCTGAAAAATCCAATTTGAAAATTATACTAATTTCAACCCTGTGTATCTAAATAATTTTCTGATAGTGACTCACACCAACAGCCAGATTTTTGCTATTGACACCTTTGTCACAGTTTACTGATCTAAAAACTTTGTTGTAACTCCATGATTTCTTACTAAAAATGTAATCTTCTTTTCAGCCTGCCTGCAGTTCTGTTTACCATCGACTGACTAATTACCCCTGCAAACATTCTGTCAGGTTCAGGCCTGTCTTGACGTTATTTGTTAGCAATTGTGCCCATGACTACTAAAGTGTGCTTTTTGAATGCCACTTTTAACCCAAGTCTAGCTAGAACGTTTGTGGGATTTCTTCCAAGCCTGAATTGCCTTAAATCTGCTAACAGCAGCACTTGTGCTGCTAGGACACACTTCTGTTTCAGCATTCTTCCAACGCCAAACTCCAACAACCTTCTCCCAGCACACATGCAGATAAATTGAAAGCAGAGAACCCGTTCAGCTTCACAATGATGGGGTCTGTTCCACACTGTCCTTAAGCTGATCTTTAGAGTTTATTGACTGCTTTTCAGCTAACATTGTTCAAAATCCTTTTAAAAACCAAAAGAACTGTGGATGCTGTAAATCAGGAAAAAAAAAACAGATGTTGCTGGAAGAGCTCAGCAGGTTGGGCAGCATCTCTGAAGAAAAAAATCAGAGTTAACGTTTCGGGTCCGGTCAGTTCTGAGGAAGGTTCACCAGACCCGAAACGTTAACTCTGATTTTTTCGTCACATATGCTGCCAGACCTGCTGAGCTTTTCCAGCAACTTCTGTTTTTGTTCCAAATCCTGCTAAACTGTAGACTTTCCCGAGACCACGTTTTCAATTAGGACACCTGCTGTTTTTACAGCCTCATCTCTTCTATTTTAATTCTATTAGAATCATAGAATCCCCACAGTATGAAAACAGGCCATTCGGCCCAACAAGTCCACACCAGCTCTGCAAAGAGAATTCCACCCAGACTCACTGCCCTATTTTATCCCCGTAATCCTGCATTTCCCATGGCTAACCTACACATGCCTGGGCACTATGGACAATTTAGCATGGCCAATCCACCTAACGTGCACATCTTTGGAATGTGGAAGGAAACCAGAACACCTGGAGAAAACCATTGCAAATACAAGGAGAACATGCAAACTCCACACAGTTGCCCAAGACTGGAATTGAACCTGGGTCCCTGGCACTGTGAGGCAACAGTGCTAAACACTGTGCCACCTGCTGCCCCAAACATGGATAATCTTCTGAATTTGTTTTATGCTCTAGCAATTACTGAAGTTCACCATTTAAATTCTCTTATTTTCCAGCTGTGATTTTTAATCATTAACCATGAAGTTCACCTCCATGACACATTAGAGGGCCCCATCTTCCCTCAGTGCCGTGGAAATTTATGTGTATATCTACTGTGCTTCACGCAGTACAACTCTGATTTTCCTTCGGAAGTAACTAACTGATTCAAGCATTTTGGAATTCCCAGAAATTGTGAAAGGCCCTGTACAAATGCAAATTCCATCTCCAATCTGGTAGAAAGGTGTGAGATAAATATATCTTTTTGTAAAAAACAGTTTGAAGTTCAGTATAGTGGCCTACGGACATTGGTTTATTTTTGTGAAGTGGTTTGAAAATTAACTAGATCAGTCTTTGCGGATCCACGATTTAAAACCAGTACATGTCCAAGACCAGGTGATTGCAAAGCATCCTGGAGTGTTAATGGAAGTTTGCTGATACTGTCAGGTTTTATGACAGGAAAGGGGAAATTTTAGGTCATTAGTTGTAGCACAATCTAGGGCGAGTAAGTTTTTTATGAAAAGAAAAAAGTTCAAAGGTTTTTGGGTGCAATTGAAAAGAGACCTGACTAAAATCAATATGCAAGTATAGGCTCCCCTAGGAAAAGAGCTTGTTCGGAGCAGTGATGGAATAACAACTCAGATTTCAATTTAGTGAAACCCTCCAGGCCAGGCATATTTGGCTAGAACTGTGCAGCTTCTTTAAAAAAAAGGTCTAAGGTCTCACTTGAGAGAGTAATTCAGGGAAAAGACTTCACAACTAACTGAACAGGAACTGAGAAGAAGCAATTAAGACATATGTGCAGATCAGATAGGGAAGGAACAGATCTTTGAATTTTGATTAACTGTACATTGATGGTGTTGGATAGTAGATGGAATTTTTGTTTATATTCAACAGGCAATAGGGAAGGCAAATGGAATGTTGTCCTTTATTTCAAAATAAATGGAATATAAAAGTAGGGAGCTTTTGCTAAAATTATACACGGCACCAATCAGACCACAGCTAGAATACAGTAAACTATTTTGTTCCCCTTACTTAAGGAGAAGCAAGCTGGCTTTGGAGGCAGTCCAGAGAAGGCTCACAAGACTGATACAAGTTATGGAGGGACTGTCCTAAGAGGGGAAGTTGGGCCTGTATTCACAGAATTTAAAAGAGAGGCAACTTTATTGAAACATGTAAAATTCTTAGGGGAGTGACAGGATAGATGCTGGGTCATGACAGCATTATCTCAGAATGAGGGGTCACACATTTATGACAGAGATGAGGAGAAATTTCTTCTGAGGTTTGTGAATTTGTGGAATTCTTTACTACAGAGAACTGTTAAGGCTGTATCATTAAGTACATCAAGGCTGACACATTTTTAAATTTGTAACAGAATTAAGCGCTATGTGAAAAAGGCATGAAAACGTAGCTGAGGATAATCAGATCAGCCATACTCTCGTTGAATGGCAGGGCAGACTTGATGGTCTGAAACGGACTACCTCGGCTCCTACACCTTTAGCCTTATTGTTTTTGCTGTGTGTTTCAAAATCTTTCAAATTGTTATATTCAGAGAGTTTGATTGGTTTTCTTTTATTTCATACTTTTAATCATAAAGCAGGAATTATTACAAGTAAATCTTCAGCATTATGTATTACTTTGAGTGAAAATTCATCACATTAAAAGAGCTACGATCTATCTGGGATCTGACATACCAACACTAACATCAGTTGGGATCATAACAAAGATCATTACCAGGCTCTGAGTTCATTGAATTTTAGAGGGTTGTGTCTCTCAAAGAAACTGACGTGTGTCTGGACATAAAATGGCTGTGGTGTGGTGAAGTTCATTGCATATATTTTGAAAATTGCTCTGAATGTTGCTGAATTTTCTAGGAGTACAAAACATGATGCTGTATTAGGAAATAGAGTCTAAGCTTTTGCAAAATTGTTAAAAGATTAGTCAAATTTTACCAGTTTTGCCACACATCAGATAATCATTAATTAAGCCTACACCTTGAATTCTGATAAGCCATTTAGCAGAGTCTCAATAGATTGTATTAGACCTTTACTAAAAGGAAAGGAAATCTGTATCTCTTAATGATCATGGATGTTCCAACAAGATTTCCTGAAGTTATACCTTTAGGAAAAATTGTCAAAATGATAATGGAAAAGTTAGTTCTTTTAAAACAAAAATGGGTTACCCAGAGAAATGCAATGATATCAAGGTCAAATTTTATGCTGTAAATATTCAGGGAAATAACAACTGGTTTAGGAATAAAACAGTTTTCATTCCTTTTTCTCCCTCCATCTCAAAGAGCACTGGAAAGATGATATGAAGCTTTATAGACCATGATTAGAGCATATTGTCAAGAATGCCATAATAATTATATAAAGGAACTCCCTGGTTACAATTTCTCATTACGGATGCCCCTAATGAGTCCATCAGGTTCAGTCCTTTTGAACGGATACATGAACATGAAGTAAGAGGAACAGTTAGACAGATTGAAGAAAAATTGAGAAACCAAAGCTGGGAGACTACACTTCCAGCCCACATTACAAGTTTGAGACTGAAATTAACCAAAGCATAAGAGTTTGCAAACTAGAGCAGATTAAAAGGATGAAGTTCAACATTTTGTTACTGGACACAAGGTGTTAGTATTGTCATGTCTCTGGGGTACAATTAAAAGCAAGGTTCACTGGAACTTGTCAAATCCAAAAGAAACTCAATGTAAATTGTGCAGCTAGTGCTGCAGACAGGACCCAAAGTAAATGTCATGTTAATATGTTGAAGAGATATGACTATGTTAAGTCCTAAAAAAATGCAGATTTATAGTAATGAAAAAAAAAGTGAAACAAAAATACCAGAACACTTGGAGAACAAACCAGAAATTGAAAATTCTAGTCAATCCTGCAGCAATCAATTTGGATTACAAAGATTCTTAATGTTTGACAACATGATTTTATTTTCATAAATCTTTTGAAATAAAGCTTAAAGCTATTACAGAGTCATAAATTAATTTTTTTGACTAGACCAGACTAAAATGTCTGTAGCTCATGATATTAATTGGGGACTTGTCATCCACAAAACATCCTTACAGGCTTAATCCCAAAAAATCAGCTCAAATGAAGGAAGAGAATAAGTTCATGATAGACAGTGACATTATTGAACTGAGTCTACTAGGTGGAACTTGCCAATCATGATGATACCAAAATTACCTGGGTTCCAATGATTGGACATTATCTCAAATCAAGGTAGTAAGCAAAGTGCACTGGTGTTCCATTCTACTGAATTGAAAGAATTGGACACAATTTTTCACCAAAATAGACTTGCTAGAAAGGATATTAACAAGTTCCATTGAATGATAGAGCCAAGAATTCAGCTTTTGTAATACTAGGTAGACTTTATCAAAGTAGCACAAATATTTCAACCATTAGCCAACAAAGACATTTGGGGAACTATTTAAGTGGAGATTGCATCAATGACTTTTTTGTTTTCAGCCAAACCTGGGAAGAACAGTCCCACCAGTTGGCTGGACTGTTTGATCAGCTGAAAAGAGCCAATTTGGTCATACATCTGGCTAAGGGTGAATTTCCCAAAGCAACAGTGACTTATTTAGGCCGGACTGTGGAACAAGGCCACGTCACATCTAGAGAAGTAAATCTAACCCTAACTCTATCAGGCTTCAGACAAATCAAAATTTTGCAATATGTTGCATTAGTGTATTTTATTGTTAGTTTGTTCCCAACTTCAGTACTATTGTGGCTCATTTAACAAATTTGTTTAAAGCACAAAAGATTTCAATAGATGCAAGAATGTCAGAGTACCATTCACAACTACAACGGTTTTAGCAGTGATACTGTGGGGGTTTATGACAGATGAGCAAAAACATTAAGCCATTAGCTAAATAAGCATTTGGGATGAGCAAATTTTCAAAAATATTTACTTCAAAATCTGTCGGGTGTAGTTTGAAGGAGACCTGACTGAAGTCAGAAAGAAGTATAGTTTCTCCTGGTAAGGGAGATTATTCAGAGCAGTTAATGGAATATTAACTCCATATAAGGGTTTTAGTTTTTGAAAACTTCCAGACCAGGAGAGTTTGGTTAGATTGTAAAAGAATTTAAAAGAAACTCTAAGTACCCAGTTGAGAGACTATTCAGGGAAAATACTTCACAGCACACAGATCAGGACCTGATAAAGTTAAGTTAAACCTAAAGATAAGGATTAAGTGCAAACTGACAATGTTGGGGAGTAGATCGGATTTTGCTTTGCTGTGTTTTGAAGTCTTTCAGACTATTACATGTAGCTTGCTTAGTTTGTTTTATTTTTTGGTTTCTTTTATGAAATAAACTTGTCTCACTGTTAAAACGGAATCTGCATCCTTGTGTGCTTGTTTCAGTGAAAAGAAAACAAAATATTATCTATCAAGCCAGATTTCATTCTGGGATCTGACTTGTCCAGTCATAATATCGGCTGGGATCATAACAACAGATATTAAAGGAGTTGTACTGCATCATGTCCTGGAGAAGACATTGTCTTCCTGGCACCGCTCTGTTTACACTGTTGATTCACCACAAATTAAGACAGCAGTAAATTAGAATTGAGGTAGTAGTAAATGCATGAAACAAAATTGGCTCAAAACTTCTAAGGCATAATTACCAAGAATTTATGAACATCAATTCTGATGGCCAATAGGGAGAACCTACCGAGGAAAAAAAAGTGAACAAATGAAATAACCTTTCGAAAGCTCTCTTTTTCCCTTCCGCAACTGAAAATTTTAAGGTGTAGAATCGGGTTTGTTTTTAATTTGTTCTTGATGTGGACATAGTGATGTTTCCTGTATCAAACAATTCATTAAAATTTTTAATAATATTTAATTATGGAATAGCTAGAAATACATGGAAAATGCATAGGACAGAAGTGAAATAATTAACTCAAGTAACGACAACAAGTCAGTAATGATCGAACACATACGATAGGAATTATTTCAAATTTGGTTATTTGTGTTATTCTTACACTACAAATTAATTCAATGAAAATTGCTCAACAAATCAGTGTTATTCTTGTGATGAGACAGCCTAGTCTGCCTTTATCCCGTAGCAACAATTTCCACAAAATACAAAAGAGAAAAATCAATACCAAATGTTTTTATTAATAGCACTTTATTTTTAAATGAACCACTTACAATTAGACAGAATACATGATGTATCTGCAAGATACGTTCCGTTTGATTTTACACCTGTAGCTAATATTCATTTGGAATGTTGCTTAAGGTTGGATTTCATCAGAAATGTTTCCCTGGCTTAAAGTGCCAAATGCTTAGTCCCGCTTCACCATGATTTAGTCTCACTCGTAGATTCTTTAACTTAACTTCATTCACCCCTTATTTCAAATACGACGGATGACTGGTAAAAGGAAAATCCTGACTTGGGAGGAGTCAAAATGGCCAAGAAATAACTTAAAATGTACCAAAAGAAGATATTATTTCACACAAGACTTAACTACAAGTATTAGGGGAAAGCTCTTGGTATATAGTGAATAAATCATAAGCAATTCTATTTTTTAAAAATATCTAATCTTTAGGTGAATGAAAATGCTACAGTCTTTTAAGAGGATTGGGGAAAAAAAAATCCAAACATCTACAAAATTCAGGTGAGGTAATGAACTGGAAGATTGACAAAGTTTTGACCTCTAACTTTTTGACTTTAACAATGTCTTCATTATTGTTTAACCCTATGTTTTGAAGGAAGCAAAACATTAAACAGGAAAAAGGACAGAAAAATTGAAATAAGTTGAGCCATTTCAGTCACTCATACCAGGAAACGTTGTAAATCAGATTTCAGTGCTTACTGAAAACATGCAGTAGGAAGTATAGCTTACACCACCCATGTGGTGGGTTCACAAGACTTGGCTGGACCTTGAAAAAAGGCATCAAGTGGAACTCAGGCACTTATCTACAGGAAACAAAGAACTCTGAAGGCTAAGGCAATGAACACAGTGTCTGCTCATCTCCCATCAAGTAACTTAAGCAGCATTCACCAGGGTCTGGGTGCAGAATATAATATCATGTAAAAGTAAACAGGTTCTCTAATTGTCTGACACTAACAACATATGCTCTACAGTTCTTTAATTTTGCTAGAAGATAAATACAGAAAATACATGCATCAACAAATTACATTTAAAATGAAAGGAGATGACAAAAGTAATTGGCAATGGACAATTTTGACCTTTGATCCCCTACAGCGCTGTTAGTGACCAGATACCAGCTACTACAATCTTAAATATGAATACAACATAAATACTTTATGAAAAATTCAGTTAATGGTCATGCTTTGATTTGGTGATGTGCTAGAAAGTTAAGAATTATTGGAAGTTGTCAGTGGTCTAAAAATATTAGCAAAAATAGCGACCATGTTTTAGGCCAAAATAACTCAGGTAGATACAATAACCTGATCCTCTGTCCTGATTAATTTTCACAAATAAAATTGATTTTCTAATAAAGACAATTCTGAAATCAAAAACCTGCTGCCTGTTCCAAGCCTACAGAGAATGTGAGATACTATATGCTTTAACACTATTTACGTGTGCACAGTTCATGTTTGTTTCTAAATATATTACTAAATTACTTCTATGAGAAACCACTAAAATTGGGTTATTCTGGAGGCATCATCATTGTTAGATTTGTTTTTTGTACAGTCTAATTTATTCACGGGCTAGGCCAGCAACTAGTATCCATCCTTAATTTCTTGGAGAAGTGATGGTGTGCAGCCTTCTTGAAATGCTGCAGCCTTTGGGGTGTAGGTTTTCTCAGTGTGTGCAAAGTGCCAGTGATGTATGCCAGCAGACTTTAGTCTATGTTTTAAGATATATTCCACTATATAATTTTATGTAAATTTACCTTCTCTGCCTCACCTAAAACAGCTCAGGTACTGGCAACTGAATCTTACATTCAGTCCGATTTGACATTCCAAGTTTTCAAATGTTCAATAAAATGTTTGCCAGGAAATTTAAAAAAGGTTAATTCTTTGTTTAAAAACAATACAAAAGTGTATTTTGCAAACGAACATGAGGATTTAAAAACTATTGTGTACAGAGCCTTTTACTATATTTATTCAAAAGTATATTAATCTCAGTTAATTTCCATTTGTGAATTTGCAGTTGATGTAGGAAGTATGAGAGTATGCTGTCTAGAACCACTAGGTAAAGGTCAGAATTAAATATTGCACTATTAACCCTTCATAAGATACACAATGTGCAAAACAATTACATTGTTGAATGATTTAGTCGGGGTCACAGTGTCAAAATTATAGATGCAAATTCAATGTGCTTACATAGAATTAATGGAACAAGTTAAGAAAACAGACCACATTTTAAAGCACATAATATGAAAGGTGCTGAATTTGTTTATTTTAAAACATGGAATGTTGAAAAGTTTGAAATCAAATTCTGAAAACATCAGCTTATAATGTGTAGATCTGGGAGTTCGCTTTCTCGTGCACACTTGTAAACAAATTAGATATTAATTGCAAAGATCTTTACAATAAGATATGCAATCAACCAGCCTCATGAATAACCATTTAGAAATCCATACAAGAAAATCCCACTGTTTACAATAAAACAGCACGTTGCCCTGAGAGGAAAAAGACACTAGGAATGGCATTTCCAATGTTTGAAAACAGACCTGTCTTCAGTCAACAGTACATTTAACTGTTAGAATCCCAACAGTAAAGTCATTTTCATTCATTCTTGGTGGCTTCTGGGTGGATGGGCACAGAACAACAGAAATTACAGTTTCCAGTAATTCAGACACTTCCTTTCAAATTTTCTGGTTGAGCAATGCCCTGTAGTAATCAGCATTTCTGTGCAAATAGTATACTGAGCTACACAGGTACAGTCATTGGTTAATCTCCTTGTAGAATGTTCATTATTTCAGCAGGCAACTAGGTTCTGATATCTATTTGGTTTTCTCGGAATTCATTTGATCTTATTTCAGAATTCTCACTGAAGTCCAATTTAATTGATTTGTGTTCAGCAGACTTTGCTCACACAATGCAATGCAGATGTGACACTGTGTAAGCTGCACATAGGACACCAAAGTAGCTTAATACCATCCAGGATATGTCATTATTTGCATTTCAAAACAGATTCCCTCTGGAAGTGCAACGGGTTGGAAATGTTGAATCATGTATCTTTTTCTGTATCTGTCACTTGCTTTATCTTTCGACTTTGAATTATCTGAAATGATGCTCCTGCTACTTGTTTTAGTTGACTCTCCAGTGCACTTCGGAGATTATCGGTTTTAAAGTTTGGCACTGGATCAAGGCTGATGATCAACTTACCATTGTCACTTTGATAGCTTTCATCCATGCTTGACCTTAGGTCTCTCTTTTTTCTACGGAGGTCACCACCTCCGTCAAGTTTCAAATCTTTATATGGCTCACCATCCTTCTGGCTTGGATTCTTTTCATTATGGTTTGATGGTGCATTTGGGTCTGCGCGTTGAAGATTAATATTTCCCTTTAAAGCCTTCTGTTCTTCCTCAATTTTCTTTTCATCAAGACTTTGTGCTCTGTTGATAAGATTTTCCCTTCTATCTTTGTGACCTTTATCTGCATTCACAGGCCACTGGATCTTTTCCTTCCTGTTTTCAATGTGTCCTGGTTGATTAGGTTTTTCCTGGAATGTATCCCCATCTCTGCCGTTCATATTCTCATTCCTATGTTTTTCTGCTTCTTCCGCTTTTAAAGGCTTGGTCTCACCTTCCAATTCAATCTGATGAACCTCTTCTTTTGATTTTGCTTTAATACCAAGATTTTCAGAAATTTTTGGGACTTTGGTCTCATTGTCTGGAACATTTGGATGTCTTTCTCCAGGTTCAGGTCCTTCCTTTTCAATTTTAACAATATTATTCAAAGGAACATTTGGATTTCTCACTCCGTGTTCTTGGATAGGTTTAGCTCCTTCAACATGTGCAACTGCTTTTGGGACTTCAGGATCAAGGTGAGGCACCAGCCGTTCACCATCTCTTCCTTTTGATAGAAGGTTTGCGGCCTCATTTTTTTGGAGGTCTTCTTTAAAGTTGTCTCTAGACTGAAGGACAAATTGAGCACCTTTGTGATATTCAACATTAGTTCTAATTCCAGCCTTCTGTTTAGAAGCAAGAATTTGATCCTGGTTATCTGGGACATTACCCCGAACTTCTTGCAAAGTATCTTTAGGCTCAACACCATCCTTACGGTGATCAACTGCTGGTAGATCCTGACCAAATTTGGCAGAATCAATCTGGGAATCAGCATTGATCACGTTAGGTTTCTCTGCCTTCTGCCCATTGAGAGTGTCAATATTTTTCACCTGATCTTCAATTTCTTCAGCCGCTTGTTCTTTCACAGGGTTTTCATTGTCTGCAGAAGTTTAAAAAAAAGGAAAGGTTAATGCAGGTGTTTTACAGGAATACACAAAGGCCAATGCATAAGAAAAGGGCCAATTCTGCGTAATACAATTCCACGTTTATTCTTAGAAATGCCCATTTAAAACCCAGCTCGGTTTTAACCAGGAATTCACGCGACAGATTCAATATTCATGGCACTTGATAGCAGTTTATTCCACAAATTTACTACATTAAACTGATTTAATTTAGCTCAGTTTCTTAAACTTTAAATCTTTTCCTGTGTCCTTTGAACAATTTCCCAAAATGAAATTTGGTCTATCCACTTTGTCACAACTTTAAAACTTCATATCATGTTCCCATGTTGCTCAAATTGGTTTTCGTAAGGAAAACAAAATCTCCAAAAATCTCTTTGCACAGGTCGACAACTTAAATATTGTTTCCTTGCCTTCCAATGCTTTTTTAAAATATACGGAAACTCCAAGTAGCATAAATATGTTATAGATCAATGTTATTCTTTTGGCCAGATATAGTGCAAGTGGGAGGCAGTAGTATAGTGATATTGTCACGGGATATGGATTCAAATCCTACCATGGCAAATGGTTAAATGTAAATTCAATTAATAAATCTGAAATTAAAGGCAAGTCTGATGGTGACCATGAAACAATTGCTGATTGTCACAAAAAGTTGTCACGTTCAGTAATGTCCTTTAGGGAAGGAAAGCTGCCATCCTTATTCAGTTTGACCGACATATAATTGACTCGATTGCCCTCTAAAATAGCCTAGCAAGTCACTCAAAGGGCAATTAGGTATGGACAACAAACGTTGGCTTGGTCAGTGATACCTACATCCCATGTAAGAATTAAAAACTATATACAAATGTTTGTGCTATTTACGTTGGCAATCAGAGTCTTTCACGGTGGTGGCTCTCACACAGTCGAGCATTCAACCCTCTTAATATTTTGTAAAATCTATCACTTAGTAGTAATTTTTTGAAAGCTGTACCTTACACATACCTAACATCTATTAATGACACATATTACTGACATCATAAATACTAATAATTCATTTTACATCTAAATGTAGTTAATCTATTACTTTAAAAAAATGTAGCTGCTATAAGGATGTTTGATGACTGCTGCAGACAGGATGGGCTAAGGGCCTCTCCTTGCTACAAAAACTTGACTCTTTGACAACATATTATTGAATACATCATCTGTTTGGGGAGTAAAGCAATAATTCTATTTACATTGGATAAAACATTAACACATTCGTCACTTGTTTCACGGTTCCAACGTATAGATAATTTAGAATTTCATTCATATAATTAATAAATATTGACTCCAACATTTTCCCCAATGATGTGCTGTAATAGCAGGACTGCACTCAATAAGCCATACTGAACACGAGACTAGCTTGTGCATTCCAACTCCAGCGCAACATGAAAATATTGAGATAAGGGATGCGGTAGTTGAAAATTTCAGGTTTGGCTTAACCTGAAAATGTCAGGGGCAGGCTGGTAGAACAGAAGGCAGTTGGTTAATCTATTGCAAGACTGAGTTGAAATGATACAGAAGACTCATGTAAGATTTTGTGGCACTTTTAGAAATTCCTTTCAAACATTTTCAAACGTACGCATTATCTCTTACGTTCTTGTTACCTACTCACCACTTAGACCTTCAGAATATTTGTTGCATACTACTGACCTCCCTTAACACTGAGTCCAAACTTAAGCATAACTTCAGCAAACTGCATTGGTTTAACAGAAACATTCTGCCTGAGTGAAAATTTGAAACTATTCCTTTATATAGTTGCTCTATTCTAGACATTCCCTTTGCCCAACTATTCATTAAAATTTTGTCAATAAGTGAAAATGCTTTTGACGATCACAAGAGCAGATATTACTTCAAGGGAAGAAATTACAAACTTGTGCTCACACAATCAGTAAGATGGAGCGTTCTTCAAGATTGAGGTAATCAAGAAAGATAATAATAGAAGGTACAAGACGCTGTTTCAAATATGCCTTGGTCTGATAGAACTTGAGATAGTACAGCAATATGATGCTTATGAGCAGTCATGTTAGAAAAATTTAAATACTTCCCTCCATGGCTAAATTGATGTGACAGCTATGACAAACGATGGGAAGAAGTGCAAGAGTTGTGATAACGAACAGATGGTATATCATGCATGCAACAGGACTGGCTGATAATATAGAAATATTCTTTGTGCATAATCTCCATTTATTTTAAGATGCCATTCAAATATGACTGATTGTACTAAAGTTCTTAGTTCAAAGTACTTACTGTAATTTATCAAACATCAATTATGTTCTCTTTACAGAAAATGGCCATTGAATTCATGAGTAACATACAAGTGTAAACATTACTTCTGATTACAGACGAATAAAATATTGCAAATTCTAACATCTCATGTCGGCTCTGTCAAAAAAATCACTATGACCGATTATTTAAAGGCAAATATATTGTAGTGTAAAACATTATAGAACCAGCTATGTATCAAAACAGGTAAAAATTCAAAGTATAATGTAAGTTTTACTTTGAAATCCAATGCTGAGGAATCTATCATTTCCATTTCCTTCTTCCAGCATAAAGCAACTTTGATGACAGTTGGTGCTACATCAGTGCATGAGCGGCTTGTCTCAATCTTGTCCCTTTATGTTAAATAAATTAGTTAAAAGCGATCCAGATTAAGTAATGAAAAGATTCCTCAAGCATTCAATTACTGGTTCTCAGTATGACAAAACATTGCTCAACTTTGTTCTGTTCTTCGTAATGATTCTTACCCTGCTGTCCTTTGTCCTCATCGATTCTTTGTTGGTGAATTTCCTTGTGCTGTTCCTGAATGACAGCTAACAGTTTCTCCTGTTGGTCCAAAAGCCGTTTTTGCTGTTGCTGTTGTTCTTTAATCACCTTCAGTAGAACTATATGATCCATATGTTTTTCACCATCTGTATTAGAGAAAAAAAGATAAACATGAAATCAGCATTTTTTTGCTAAACAAAATGACAGCTGAATTGTTGCTTTATACTTTTAAATGTACACATTTGTTCATTTTTGGATTAGAAGCTTTAAGTTGGAGCATAGCTGCACCTAAAATCTGTTTGCCCATCATCTACTTTTAAAAAAATGGGATGGGGAGAAAATTGCAAGTAGATTAACAGAAATTATTTAATTCAAGATCTTTTAATGTGGTGATGAGAAACTCTTCAAAATTTCTAGTAGATTACATATTTGCCACTCAGTTATTTCCAGTAAGGTGATCTAATAACCTGTGGCAAGATATGGTAGGAAACCCTATGTTTTCACAGTAAAGGAAATATATATTGTTCCACAGTAGGGACACCAACTACCTGCAAGTTGCATGACCATCTCTTAAAATAGTAAAACTGCATGTCATACAGGGGTTTGGGAAGCTAAAGCATAGAAATAAATAACTCAAAGCACACGAAGAAATTCAATAAAATCTGCATATTCTGCAGAGTAGAATTTTGGAACTGCAGAGTTTCCAGTTTTAGTTCTTGTTCAGCTTTGTTCAATTATGATTCATAAAGGGGAAGCTACAAGCAGCATTTATTAACATGCTGTATTCTGTTTATCATGTAAATAAAATAGCTACAGGCCAGAATTTTTCAAAAATCATTTCATTTTGTTCTGCATCCATGAACTAAAGCAATTTACGTCATCACAAGAGCACGGTTTTAACAAAAGAGCAGCAATGTTCCTTTTTATAAATACTTTTTAAAAACTGGTAACGAGGGAGTGGGGAAGAGGAAAGGACTATATAAAAGGATAACTGTAAAATCTACTGTGCTTGCCCTAACAAAAGATGCTTCACTACCTTCTTAAAAAAAAAAGGTACAACTCCATCTACTTTGTCACAACTCACCCTCGCCTCCTTCAGCTGGT